AAAAAAAAAAAAGGCGTAGGAGTCTTTCAACATAACTGGAGTTTTTAAGAGGATGACTGGAGTTTTTAACTCCTCTTATTTCCTTTGGTTTTGGCAGTTCACTACATTGCTACAAGAAAGACCTTACAAGACTCCCAAAGTTCCAACCCTCCTTTCCAATGGCTTTGCAGCATGAAATTATGCTATTCTAATTTGCCGTAGAAAATTTTAAGAAGCCAACTAAAGGAGTTCCTAAGTCCTTGCAGCACTGCAAAAATTTCAAGATTCAAACAAATTCGGGTTATTTAAGAAACCATAAAACTGAAGCGAGGAGTCTTCATGTAGGCAACAACATTTTGTTAACAGAGTTTGTATCAAACTCATTATCGGCATGCCATGCATGATTAAAAAAATTATAAAAGTGAATCTATTCACTTCAAGATTGATAAACCAACACACTAATTTCAAGTATTCCACTTTTTAAGCAAGTGTCGTCAAGATGTGTGTGAAATCAAAAAAACTCACACATGTCAAAAGTTCTTTTTAAAACCAAAGTACAGTGGCAATGGGTCATTCACCCACTTCAAACCAAATCAAATTCAACTCCAAATTTTGAGTCACTCACTCATTTCAAATCAAATCAAGTAAAATTTCAAATTAAATGAGTCATTCAATCATTTAAAATCTCATTCAAATAAATTTCAGAAATTCTTTTTGAACTACGTCTGACTTAATTTCAGTTTTGCATACGTAGGCAATTCAACATTTACTTTGAACAGACACAATCGTAATTTCAAATCACCTTCAATTAAATTCCTAAAATTCATGAACTACGTTAGAATTGATTTCATTTTTGGATATGTAGGCAGTTCAGTATCTACACTGGGCATAGTGGCAAGTCAAAATCAACTCCAATTAAATTCTTAAAATTCATGAACTACAACTAACTTGATTCCCTTTCAGATACGTAGGCAGTCTAATTAAACTAGGCGCAGTCACAAATCCAAATCAACTTCAAATAAATTCTAAATTCTTTTCGAACTACATTCGACTTGATTCCATTTCGGATACGTAGACAGTCCAGCATCTACACTGGGCACAGTCACACCCCTAAATAAATTCCAAAACTTCTGAACTACGAATCGACTTGATCCCGTTAACGGGTACATAGAGCAACCTAAGTAACTAACCTAGGTCTAGCCGCAACTACAAATAAAATATTTCTTTTTCCATTCCCTCGTAAGGTAAATAGTGATAGGTGATAATTTCTTGCTGGAATCAAAAGGGTGTTCCTTTGAAGCAAGGGATTGTAATTAACGGATATACGCTATTTGGAATGGGTCTAAGCTACATTAACAAAACTCGTATAATTCATCGTTATATGAGTGAAGTCATGTTCGAAAAAATATTTAAATTTTTGTCCAATTAAGTTGTAGCTTAAAGATGCATAGTAACCATAATCTTTTTTATGATGCAACATATCCCAGGATTCTTAGAGCACAAACCTGAATAAGAATGATATTTGCACCCTTCGCATGAGAAGCTCTCACCAACCTGCATAGAAAATAACCTCTTAGAAACATTAAAACTGTGTGCCACACCACAAGAAGAAAGAGGGAAAAAAAGTTACTATATTCCACCAGATAAACCCAAAAAAGGTGAAACATGAATGAGAGGCATACATACCACATAAGAAGCAGAAAGATTATTTACCAGAAAAAGGAAATAGATGCCGAGCTGTTCAAACAGAATAGCTCCACACAATGCTTAAAGGTGTTCCAACAACTAGAGTCCAGCAGAAGTTGCAAATTTGCAGGATTTTTTACATGGGACTCCAATGGTTCTGCAAAATTTAGTTTTAGCTTTACCACTCAAATAACAAACCCCCCCCCCTTTCTCTCTCTTCCCAACCCTGAAAAAATGCGGACCCTGGTAAAGGAATTGGAAATTGACATGTGCTCACAAATCCTATTCTATTATTATAAGAAAAGTTCTTCTTTTCTTTGTTAGGATATATATTATTTACATTCACAGGAAAACAGCTATAAAACAAAAAGGAGAGCTGGCATATTACAAGAACCGGAGAATAGTTCTGTACATTGATCCTACATGGAGTTTTTAAGATGATCCTACAATTTAATAGACAGGCTGATCATCTTTCCCAGATTTTTTTGCAGCTAAAATTTGCCCTTATTTAACTGCGATTGACTGGTCTTCCTTGTTCGGTACCACTTTGCAAAAAAATACAAATAGTGGATTACAATAATTCATAGAACACAACAATTTTGTCCCATGTTTTAGATGAATTAAAAGGTGCAAATTAAAACCTGGTGAATTATTTCTTTGCCTATTCACTGCAGCTTATAGTTGGAATGTCATCACATTTTCTGGGTTTTTTTATGCCAGCTTTGAGAAATTCCCAACCACATAGCCTCATACAAGCATTAAATCAAGAAATCTTTCAATCTTAATAAACAAAACTACAACCAACAAGTCTACTTGATCATACTCTCTCGGATGTCCGAATTGCAAATGAACCGTATGACCCCTAAGCATTATCAAGATAACCAAACAGCCGGTATGGTACAAGAATTACTATCGAATTCATTTGTATAAATCACATTGCAACAGTGTCATTTATTTCTAGATAAATCGGAGCGAACATACTGAAGTTTTTTTTTCTGGGCCTGACACCATATAAAGTCAGGAAGTTATATATTATAACATAATTCAAGTCACATAAACAGAGAAAAGGGTAAAAAGAGGTCAACATTTTGGGGTGATTCACCGAGCACGAATGGATTTGAACTGCAAATATGGCATGATTCATGTTATAGGGTGATTCTGCCCAAATTTATGCATATATGTTCAAGTTTACAATCAAACTGGAGAGAGAGAGAGACCTTTCGGCTGTGTCCACGTTGGTGGAGACATCATCGGTGCAAGCGAATTGTAGAGCTGAGACCACCACCATTTTCCCTACCTCCAAAGCCCACCACCAACTCGCCCTCACTCTCTCTCTCTCTCTCTCACACACACACACACACTCGCACACTGAGCTTGACTAAGAGTCAAAGAGGAGATTGCGAAAGGGCAGGAAAGGAAATACAAAAAGCCTAAACAGAACCAGTTAGGTATTGGTTTTCTTTGGGTCATCTATTGTTGCACGGTCCTGGGCTTGGGCCTGGGCCTGTGGATTTTTAAATTTTGTCAATTTTTATTAAATTTAATTAACTATTCATCTTTAAAATTATATTATTTCATTATTAAAATTATCTTGGCAAATACGATATCTCTTTTTTGCGTCAAATTCTGTTACGTGACTGTTTTTATTGTTTTTTTATTTATTTCCTTTCAAATAATACTCCTGCTTAAGTAGTTATCCATGTTGAAAGTAATCCTAGTTTTTAGCGATAATTGTTAGTAGTTGAGTTTGACATAGTTTTAAGGGAAGTAGTTGGTATAACTTCTTTCCCTAATTTTATGGTTGTGAACGTTGAGACTGTTGTCTATATAAGTATGGCTAATCATGAATAATATCATCAGTTATCATTTTTTCCCAGACACTTGGGTTAATTGGAGGTCAGGGTTCCTTAGTCAACCCAAACTATTTGTATTGCTTCTTTTTATCCTTGTTTACAATAGGTCCTAAGAAACAAAGGCAAGGTATTCCCCAGTACGTACCATTGTGGTATAAGAGCAAGGGCATGGATCAAAGAATGAAGAGTTTGGAGAACAAGGTAGGCTCTCTTACTGCTGGTCCACAACAAATTATGGCACAGCTTGCTGAAATCGTCAGCAAGTTGAATTCACAAACCATCATACCACCAGCAAATATGGACCGCGAGGGCGGAAAGAATTTAGTGGCTCCACTTCAGACCCATGGTGGACGACCTGGCAACCCTCTAGGGACCTGCCAGACGAGAACACCACATTTACATGCTTTAAAATTCGTCAAACTCGAATTTCCTCGCTTCAATGGTGAAGGAGATACAATAAGTTTGATATGTAGGTTGGAACAATTATTTTGATTCCATCAAACCCCGAAAAAAGATCGTGTGCCACTTGCATCTTTCCACTTGGAGGNCGCATGATTCATGTTATAGGTTGATTCTGCCCAAATTTATGCATATATGTTCAAGTTTACAATCAAACTGGAGAGAGAGAGAGACCTTTCGGCTGTGTCCACATTGGTGGAGACATCATCGGTGCAAGCGAATTGTAGAGCTGAGACCACCACCATTTTCCCTACCTCCAAAGCCCACCACCAACTCGCCCTCACTCTCTCTCTCTCTCTCTCTCTCACACACACACACACTCGCACACTGAGCTTGACTAAGAGTCAAAGAGGAGATTGCGAAAGGGCAGGAAAGGAAATACAAAAAGCCNCAAAACTCGTATAATTCATCGTTATATGAGTGAAGTCATGTTCGAAAAAATATTTAAATTTTTGTCCAATTAAGTTGTAGCTTAAAGATGCATAGTAACCATAATCTTTTTTATGATGCAACATATCCCAGGATTCTTAGAGCACAAACCTGAATAAGAATGATATTTGCACCCTTCGCATGAGAAGCTCTCACCAACCTGCATAGAAAATAACCTCTTAGAAACATTAAAACTGTGTGCCACACCACAAGAAGAAAGAGGGAAAAAAAGTTACTATATTCCACCAGATAAACCCAAAAAAGGTGAAACATGAATGAGAGGCATACATACCACATAAGAAGCAGAAAGATTATTTACCAGAAAAAGGAAATAGATGCCGAGCTGTTCAAACAGAATAGCTCCACACAATGCTTAAAGGTGTTCCAACAACTAGAGTCCAGCAGAAGTTGCAAATTTGCAGGATTTTTTACATGGGACTCCAATGGTTCTGCAAAATTTAGTTTTAGCTTTACCACTCAAATAACAAACCCCCCCCCCTTTCTCTCTCTTCCCAACCCTGAAAAAATGCGGACCCTGGTAAAGGAATTGGAAATTGACATGTGCTCACAAATCCTATTCTATTATAAGAAAAGTTCTTCTTTTCTTTGTTAGGATATATATTATTTACATTCACAGGAAAACAGCTATAAAACAAAAAGGAGAGCTGGCACATTACAAGAACCGGAGAATAGTTCTGTACATTGATCCTACATGGAGTTTTTAAGATGATCCTACAATTTAATAGACAGGCTGATCATCTTTCCCAGATTTTTTTGCAGCTAAAATTTGCCCTTATTTAACTGCGATTGACTGGTCTTCCTTGTTCGGTACCACTTTGCAAAAAAATACAAATAGTGGATTACAATAATTCATAGAACACAACAATTTTGTCCCATGTTTTAGATGAATTAAAAGGTGCAAATTAAAACCTGGTGAATTATTTCTTTGCCTATTCACTGCAGCTTATAGTTGGAATGTCATCACATTTTCTGGGTTTTTTTATGCCAGCTTTGAGAAATTCCCAACCACATAGCCTCATACAAGCATTAAATCAAGAAATCTTTCAATCTTAATAAACAAAACTACAACCAACAAGTCTACTTGATCATACTCTCTCGGATGTCCGAATTGCAAATGAACCGTATGACCCCTAAGCATTATCAAGATAACCAAACAGCCGGTATGGTACAAGAATTACTATCGAATTCATTTGTATAAATCACATTGCAACAGTGTCATTTATTTCTAGATAAATCGGAGCGAACATACTGAAGTTTTTTTTTCTGGGCCTGACACCATATAAAGTCAGGAAGTTATATATTATAACATAATTCAAGTCACATAAACAGAGAAAAGGGTAAAAAGAGGTCAACATTTTGGGGTGATTCACCGAGCACGAATGGATTTGAACTGCAAATATGGCATGATTCATGTTATAGGGTGATTCTGCCCAAATTTATGCATATATGTTCAAGTTTACAATCAAACTGGAGAGAGAGAGAGACCTTTCGGCTGTGTCCACGTTGGTGGAGACATCATCGGTGCAAGCGAATTGTAGAGCTGAGACCACCACCATTTTCCCTACCTCCAAAGCCCACCACCAACTCGCCCTCACTCTCTCTCTCTCTCTCTCTCTCACACACACACACACTCGCACACTGAGCTTGACTAAGAGTCAAAGAGGAGATTGCGAAAGGGCAGGAAAGGAAATACAAAAAGCCTAAACAGAACCAGTTAGGTATTGGTTTTCTTTGGGTCATCTATTGTTGCACGGTCCTGGGCTTGGGCCTGGGCCTGTGGATTTTTAAATTTTGTCAATTTTTATTAAATTTAATTAACTATTCATCTTTAAAATTATATTATTTCATTATTAAAATTATCTTGGCAAATATGATATCTCTTTTTCGAGTCAAATTCTATTACGTGACTGTTTTTATTGTTTTTTTATTTATTTCCTTTCAAATAATACTCCTGCTTAAGTAGTTATCCATGTTGAAAGTAATCCTAGTTTTTAGCGATAATTGTTAGTAGTTGAGTTTGACATAGTTTTAAGGGAAGTAGTTGGTATAACTTCTTTCCCTAATTTTATGGTTGTGAACGTTGAGACTGTTGTCTATATAAGTATGGCTAATCATGAATAATATCATCAGTTATCATTTTTTCCCAGACACTTGGGTTAATTGGAGGTCAGGGTTCCTTAGTCAACCCAAACTATTTGTATTGCTTCTTTTTATCCTTGTTTACAATAGGTCCTAAGAAACAAAGGCAAGGTATTCCCCAGTACGTACCATTGTGGTATAAGAGCAAGGGCATGGATCAAAGAATGAAGAGTTTGGAGAACAAGGTAGGCTCTCTTACTGCTGGTCCACAACAAATTATGGCGCAGCTTGCTGAAATCGTCAGCAAGTTGAATTCACAAACCATCATACCACCAGCAAATATGGACAACGAGGACGGAAAGAATTCAGTGGCTCCACTTCAGACCCATGGTGGACGACCTGGCAACCCTCTAGGGACCTGCCAGACGAGAACACCACATTTACATGCTTTAAAATTCGTCAAACTCGAATTTCCTCGCTTCAATGGTGAAGGAGATACAATAAGTTTGATATGTAGGTTGGAACAATTATTTTGATTCCATCAAACCCCGAAAAAAGATCGTGTGCCACTTGCATCTTTCCACTTGGAGGGAGATGCTCAGTTATGGTATCAATTGTTGAAACAAGAGGAGGATGTGATGACCTGGAAAGAGTTTACTAATGGCTTGCATGCTCAGTATGGCCCAACTCAACTCCAGGATTTCTTTGGAGAGTTAACGAAGCTACAACAAGTTGGTTCAGTACGTGACTATCAGACCCAATTTGAGAAGTTATTATCTAAGATAGGACAACTCCCTCAAAACCATCAAGTCAATTGTCTCATTAGCAGATTAAAGGACTCAATCAAAGCTAATGTACTATCTGGTCGTCCTACAAACTTGTCATCCACTATTGGACTTGCCCGGTTATACGAAGCTCACAATATCTCACAATGGCGAACTACTTCCACGGTCGATTTGAAGAAGGAGACCACTAACACCAGTTCTACACTTCTAGTTCGGCGAATGTCACCGACTAAATTGCAAGATCGACGCGTGAAGGGCTTGTGTTACAACTACAACGAGAAGTTTGTTCCTGGGCATCGATGCAAGAAGTTGTTCTTGATTGAAGCCTGCTATGAAGAAGAAGATGGCAACATTATAATGGATATGGAAGAATTTGTTCAAGAGGACTACAAAGAGGTGCCTGAGATTTCCTTGCATGCGATTTTGG